AAAAAAAAAAAGCATGCTCCAAGCATGTGGCCAGCAGCAGGTATACGTATATCGAGTGATAAGAACGGTCAACTTTCGAGGCGAGCGAAACCGGATGTGTGTAACACAAGCGGCTCCCCCCTGTTACTTGTGCGCGAATTTATTTTCCTTTCCTTTCGGGCTTGTTAGCCGACGATCGATATCTGTTTTCTATATGTTTCTCTATATGCGAGAGAAACGTGTGCCGACGGAAAGAGTAAAGAGCGTTGCGTTGGATGTTGATATCAGTGTGGCGTGATGCGAGGGATTTAACCTTAATAACGATAACGATTTTGTTGCCTTTCTTTCTCTTTTCTTTTCCTTTTATCATTATTCTTTTCATCGACTTCTCTGAATATTCCGTGCAAATTTTTCAGAGATCAGAATCATATTTTTTTTTCCTCTGTCGTTTTTACGTCTGATGGTCAGCATAGGGATTTTGTTTTTTTTTTTTTTTCTGTGATCACTGTGGTATAATCAGGTATATGGTGATGTTGCTTTATAATATTATGAAAGAATAGTACCAATCGAATGTTTTTAGGAAGGTAATGTATTTATTTTGGTGAATGTTTGATTGATCTTATACAATTAAGTTATAATTAGATTATAACCTAATCAGTATGTAATTATAACCTAGTTGGGTTATAATTGTGTTATGATATAATTCTAACCTAATCAGTATATAATTATAACCTAATTAGGTTATAATTTTATTATGATATAATTGTAACCTAATCAGTATATAATTATAACCTAATTAGGTTATAATTGTATTATGACATAATGTTTGATTGTTTTGCACAATTAAGTCATAATTGTATAAGAGTTGGACATTTGAATTTAAATGTTTGAATTTGTCTTTGAGTTTGAATTTGAATATTTGAATTTGAATTATAAATACTTGAATCTGAATATTTGAATTTAAGGATTTGAATTTGAATTATAAATACTTGAATTTGAATACTAGAAATTTAAATTTGAACATTAGGATTCGAATTTGACTTTGAATTTGGATATTTGATTTTGAATTTGAATTGAAATATTTGATTTCAAGTTTGAACGTTAGGATTTGAATGTTCGAATTTGACCCTGAATTTGGATGTTTGAATTTGACTTTGAACTTTTTTCTCATTGATTAGATTCGAATACTCGAGTATTCGCTCGATCGAATGGTTTCTATTCAATTGGTGGAAAGGGATTCAGTTGGACTTGGTTGCAAAGACGACGACTGGTTGCGACCGTGGCGGCGCGGAAGTGCGCCAAGTCGGAACTCGAGAATCCGGCGTCGAATTAATCAATTCCTGCCACGGAACGAAACGAGCCGCACGATATTTTCGTAACGAGCTAATTGCGCAAGTTAATTCGTAACTTTCGTCGCTCGTTCCTCTTGCGACAGTGAGCGACCACTTGCATTGACGACGATGATTCATCGTGGATGAACGCTCGTGACAATTAGGATTCGCGAATTCACACGAACTCGGCTCAGAAAGGGACCAGGCCTTATATTGGTTTCCTTCGATGGAAATCCAAGTTAACGCTTCTCTCGGATAATGTTTCCACAAATGTGCAAATGTTTGCTCAAATACTGTCGAAATACTGCCACTAGATACCGTGTACAGGGTGATTCACATAACTCGCACGCCTGGAATAATAAACACTTTTTAACGATGCGTCTAACGAAGAGTTGTTTAATAAACGAAAATTGTATGGTTTCTAGGGAGGCAAAATTATGGCGTTTTTTGTTGTTTTAAATTTTCAAGGTCACCTTTATTCTTTTTTAAATTGGACCTTTTTTTTTTTTCCCATCGCAGATCGAAAGAATCTGATGAAACTCCAAGTGAAAAAGTATCAAGCCACGTTGGTCCTAAAATAGCTAAGGAGATATTTGACAATAATTTGTCTCGAGGATGAAAATTGCACACAGCAACTTGGGACCATTTTCTTTTTTTTTTCTTTTTTTCTTGCTTGCAATAATTTAACCCTTAAAACCATACAACCTTTGTATTAAATTTTTCATTAGACTTTTAGGTTAGGTTCAAGCGTGAATCACCCTGTATATATCTATGAAACAGAAGCTGCCACGACTATCGATTTGATTCTCATTGGCCGTTTCTTCAGAGACGATCGAACCCTGAACGAGGCAGTGAAGAGGAGAAATCCACGTGTCGACACGGTTTGACGCGATCGTATGATCAATTGACATCTCTCTGCATTCAACGGTTCAACGAACCTGCTTCTGGTAAGGTCAGGGCCGTTCACAGCCGCGAGCTCGCTTGAAACGTTGTCATTCTCGCGTTGTCTAGATTGGCCAGCACTATATGGTATAATATATTATACCATATACTATATATATTAGTACTATAGCCAGTACTATATGGTACAATATATTATACCATATACTATATATATTAGTACTATAGCCAATATAATATATTATACCATATAGTATACTATTTATATATAGTATACTAATATATATAGTATATGGTGTAATATATATACTATATATATTAGTACTATAGCCAGTACTATATGGTACAATATATTATACCATATACTATATATATTAGTACTATAGCTAATACTATAGGAACAAAAAGATACAGTAAATTTCATTCGATAATAAATTAAATTTACTAATTTAGAATCTCCAATTATTCTTGTTACAATGTATAAAATTATGAAAGTAATCTAATTTAACCTATAATTATAAAAATGCCTAACCTATGATTATAATATATATATTATATATATTAGTACTAAATCTAACCTATGATTATAAAAAATCTAACCTATGATTAGTACTAAATCTAACCTATGATTATAAAAATGCCTAACCTATGATTATCATCTAACCTATGATTATAAAAATGATAAAAACTTCGAAAGAAATTGATTTGAGAAATTAAACATATTACTCTTTAATAATTATTTATCGAAGTGCATCTAACAACCGAGATAAGATGAACATTTAAGCTCGACACGAGTAATAAGGGAAATCATCAATATCTTTTGCTCGTGTCAAATTTGGCATTATCTGGATCATTCTACGGGAAGAACTTAGACTTTTCACAAACCTAACCTATTTTTTTTTTCTCCCGCCCAAATAGGGGGCTTGAACCCTGGACCCTCAGATTAAGAGTCAGATGCTCTACCGACTGAGCTATCTCAACTTACTCACAAACCTAACCTAAACCTAACCTGGTTTTGTTGAATTTAAAAAATCTCTCTCGGGGAAATATAGTTGAGCGAGAGTTGCCCTGTGCAAGTTTGCAAATCAGGCTCTTAGGAAGGGAACGTTTCGGGATTTTCAGCAAAGTAGGAACGCGGAAATCGAGGTGGGAGTATAAACGGAATGGGCTAACGAGGAAATTGGTCGTTTGGTTTCAGGCAACGGAGGCGCCCGTTCA